CTGCTTACCCGTTGTTAGGGTCGCTATTGCTAGAATCAATAATGGTTAGGGCGTCCGCTGCCTTACCTCCATCCCTCAACTTCCTTCTTCTGCATTAGTCAATCGTAAAATCGGTTATCGATTCGAACCACAAAGTCGATGAGTTTGTCCATAGTGTCGAAGTCACCAACTCTTGCTATTTCATCCTTAATATATAATTTAAGTCCTTCGTCATAGTAAGGAATCAATGCGTAATCATCCTATCCAAGGATAGCCGCTTACTGCATAAATTCGGCTGTATAGGCCGATGCTGAGGTCGTTTATCAGAGGCGCTTCAATTTGCGCTCCGCTGTCTTCTTGGCGTCTATATCACCGAACGTTTTCTCCAGATGCTCTCTGAACTTGAGGTAGCTAGAAAAGATAGTACATACGGTAGTCGACCATTCCGTACGGTCTTTCTCATAGTATTCCCGGACGAATGGTTCGAGCCAGTCCCATACTTGTCCTCGAAGGTAGGTAGACACAAAGATAACTTTGCTTACTTCAGTATTCAGCCTGTATTTGTTGACGTCAAGGTATATATTTATCTGTATAAGAAATCCTCGCAACTTAGAGCGAGTTCTGTTAAAGTTCTCTGCCTTAGGCAGTTTTGGTGCCATAGGCGATAGTACGCCAAGTTGTACATCAGTTTGCTGAATAGATTCGTACAGTTCGGTCATATTGCGATTGTGTCCCTGGCCGAATACGTTAAGTTAATTAATAAGGTTGTAGACCTGTCGTTCTAGTTCCCTGACTCTTCCCTCATCCTCATCTTCCGATTCTGGCTCAGGTCGTCGTGATTGTGTTTTGGGAGGTACAGGCTCTGGTACCTTACCCTTATTGTTACTGCCGGTTGCTGATATATTGACTATGCTTCACAGTTTCGTGTCGACAGGGCGATTAATGTATTACACGTTGCTAACTGGTCACAGTAAGTGGTTAGACTATCGTACAACAACTTACCAGTTGTTAGGTCTGTCTTAATTGGGTATAATATCTATCACTCATAATCCTCAAGTATCGACTCGCAATCGTACTGTTACTGTACTAAGCCTTATACAGACTCGGATCCTGTAGAGTAACTTCGAAGGATACGCCAGATAGTGCACCGAATAGGTCAGTCCGAAGAGCTCCCCTATTTATAGTATATTTGTCACAAGAGATAAAACTAAATAAAGAATAGCCCGAAGGTATACTGTAGTAACTTAGATTAATTAATCGCGAAGAACTAAATACATATGCGTAAAGAGCGCCCTATATATCCTAGTCCTTCCTAAGGTACTGTCAGAATCCCGGTCCTGATATCAGATCAGGTCCGTTCCGTCCGAACAGACAGGATCTTATACTCGTCACGTAAGTGGCCCGATCGGGTACTAGAGCGGTTGCTCGTGGGTTGTCTGTAGAACTGCATATATACCGGATAATATCTGGCTTAAGGACACTGTGTCCCGGATCACCCTCCTGCTCACTGAGCAGGATCCCTGTGTAAGATGTTTTTGCACAGCTCTGTTTTTGGTTCCTAGGAGCATGGTTCTAACCGGCCCCTGCTCCTGGGAACGTCTGTGTAATACTTCTCATTGGTTGCACGTGACGTGTATGTGTTCCTTTAGAATGGTTGGCTCTCGGTGGCCTATCTGTTGGGTTGTGACCCCTCATGTCGTTAGGTTCGTAACAATAAGAAGCTGTTGGTTGGTAATAGATAGGATGATTGATGTATTGCATGGATGTGTATATTATTAGGATTGCAGGAGATTGAGATGCTATTTATCCCTGAGGTTTAGCAGGCCTTAGGCCACCATTATTAGTAATTATAATGGTCATACGACAATAAGTCGTCGTAATGTATTAATCATGATTAGCATCGAATGGTAATTGATTATATAGGTTGCCATAGTTAGCACCATAGTCAATTATGTAGGTGGCAGATGGCCAGAGTTCCCACAGCATCCAGATAGTTTGCCACTATCGATCAGGTTCTATAAGGTTCCATGATCTATAGGCTATTGCTATATATTCAGAATATATAATAGATATAGATACCAGCCCGATTAGGAGGACCAGGAGTCACAGGTTAGGCCAGCATCCCCGGTTATAGAGTCAATTACCATAGACAAGGATATTATAATAGAGGAGCCCGAGGAAGCCTATACCAAGGAGATCCCGCTACCCGCCGAGCCCCAGCTATAGGATAGGATAGTTTTAGAGCATATATCCACCAGTGGCGCTGAGTCCAATAGCAACAGTAGGAGTTTTATATCCTAGGTGCTATTTATCTCCCCGGCCGAACCGCACGTCTAAGCAAGCAATATACCTAGCACCGTACTAGTAACAGTACCAATAGCGATACAATATCAATTCTGGGAGTAGGACATCTAGCGAGCATATATCGCATAGCGGTATTCGGGTACAGCCGGGCGGCGTTCTGACGACGAAGATTTTTTGATAAGTAAGATCAAGAAGTAGGTAGATCGTTGTTGGATATATACGCAATAGGATATAATAATAGGCATAAGATATAGCGTTATAGATATATTGGTATAGGGATCATCAACAGAATAATCCCCAAGGAGAGCAAGGATTAGATATCTATAGTCCGCAAGAAGATCCATTATACCGATTATATTACACATTATTAGTATAGTATATCCCAGCACATATATCTACTGGGCGATCATTACGCCAACCATAGTAAGGATATCCAAAAGCAGTATCAAGGATACCGTACGGTTTTGATTCCAACTATTACCATAATAGTCAAGGGGCCAAAAAGGACAATAAGATCCAGCAGCGTTGGTTTCAGCGATTAGAGGCACAGAGGGTAGTGAATCCCGAGAGTAATAATAAAGGGATAATTCAGTATTTGGGTCAAGCAGTACAGGGACAGCACAGAAACGGTTACACTTAACGGAGGAGTTTATATAGTTACGGCGGGCATACCATAGACGGGAGAAGTGTAGTGAATAGCCGGTTGTGTAGGATCAATATTTTGGTAGAATACTAGAATGATACCACCGGATAAAAATCACCAAGAAACGATCATATTCGCAATATATATATTCCAATAGTACAAGAAAGATCGGGGTCCAGGTGTCCGGAAGTCAACGATCCCAAATGCCAGGGATATAACAGTATTATGGTCAGGAGGAAGCAGGGGGTTATACAGCTGTACAGAGTAGATTTTTTAATAAGATATCGGACCAAGGGATAGTTCAGGAGATATATTATCATAAAAGCAACCAAAGAAGAAAAATCGAAGTGATGATATATGCACATAATGTAAGGGAAACCCAAATAGAGGAGGTGGCAAGAGAGATATTTTGGAATGGTAAAGAAGTATGTTGGGAGGGAATTTGAAGAAAGTTAGAAGAGGTAGAACATTGGACAGGGCAAGATATCCAGTAAGAGAGAAATACAATAAGAAGGACCAGGGAAGAATAAAACGAGAATTGATTCGATGGGGGATTGTAACGGGCCAGGTCCCGATATATGGCCCAGGCTTCGCCTGTGCGATGTGATCTATCAGTTCACCAGGATATTTACTCACCGCGGGTCGCCCCCTTTTTCTTACCCTTCTCCAAGCTTTAGATAAACTGCATGCAGGCACCGCTCAATTGAATCAATTCGGCTGTAGCCCTTCACACTACCGCTCTGATCGCGGTAATCTTAACTGGGGGAATGAGGAGTTACTTGCTCAGGGGAGGGGGAGATTGTTTTCTGGCAGGAAACTCTGCCTCTGTTAGGTTTTTCTCTTTCTCTTCTTCTTAGGAGATCGCTCGGTCTATCTTCTTTATTATTTGTCGATATCTTTTTTCTGTGAGGCTTTTGATTTAATTAACAGATCTCTTTGGTTAGTATCTGCTTGGTGGTCAGCGTTGACAGTGGGTCTCTTTAATATCGCATAGGGCATCGGGACGATGAGTTTCGTTGCAACCTTATCTAGTAATAATATCTCGTCGGGCTAGATTAATTAGTTATTGTGGCAATCGGCGAGAACCTGGAAGTAATCAAACTAATCCTGTCTGAGTATAATATTATATTGCCCCAGATCGGTGATCATTATAGAGATTTGTAACTGTCGATGTCTGTTAATATACAGCGTAAACCGGACAAAATAGGTTATCGGTGTGCCAGGGTGTTTATTATAGCCCTTTACAGGGATTGGGTTATCGAACTTCTTGACATATATACCGCTATTTATATACAACTGTACTACTAACGAGGTGTTGATATATATATATCCTTGTGCTCTAGTATCTTAAAGGGCTGAAATAGAGAATAATCGTCTATTATAAACTAGCTGTAGCTTTAGTACAAAGGCTTTCGAGATTATTAACTCAGATAAATCCAGATCTATTAGGGATATCTTAGGTCTGTCTGGTAAGGAGACTTTTACCAGACCTAGGCTTTTCCTGTATTGACGGTGGGTGCTGGGGGAGCAGGTACTTCTATGTTAGTAAGGTTAACAGCGGCAATAGGTTTAGGCTCCTTCGATAGGCGTAGCGTACGCTTCGGGTAATTCTTACTAATATAGCCTGTCTTGTTGCATTTGAAGCAATATCCCTTGGTTCTTCGCTTAAGCTGTTTGGCTATGTTGAGAGGGGAGGAGGAGGGTTATTGGTTATAGCAGAGGAGGAATAGGTTCCTGGTCGTTGGTTTCGAGATGATAATTTATTAGCGCTGGTGCTGATGTTCGGTTTTGGGTTGAGAGACTTTTGAACTTGTTTATTAGCATTTATAATCTTCAGAAGAGCAGCAGTATAGTAAGCCTTGTTAATATATTCACTGAAGGTGATATCTGGTTTAGTGGCCTTTTTAGTAAGCTTGTGTTATAGCTTTGTGTTTATCTTTCGCTGGAGTAGTTACACTCACTTGTGGTTAGGGATCTGTGCGTTATTGGCCAGATAAGTGAAATTAGTAAGGAAGATAGTAAATTTGTCAGTAGGCTTTATCTTTAGTTGTTCAAGCTTGTGCTTGGCTCTCTCTTAGCGAACAGGGTCTTTGTAGATATTCTTTAGATAATCTAGGATGTTGTCCTTGTTATCGAAGGAGGGGTTATTGTTGTTATTGTCGTCGTCGAAGATACTTAGCCCTAGAACAACTTGGTTATATATAGCGCTGTCTAGGCGGCTTGCAACGTACGTCTTATGGAGCTTCACAGTCGGAAAGTGATCCCTGTTAGCTTGCAGTTTACCTTCCATCGCAGTGCGCCAGCTGCGAAACTTTATGTCACTAGCTCTGTCAGAGAAGACAGGGGGGATTAGCAAGCTTATAGGTCTTCGAAGACTTACCCTATGAGCGTAAGCAATAACAGGATCTAGAGCGGGAGCAACGCTGTAATCAACACAGTGAACGAGAGCGAGAGCGCACACGTGGTTTAGGCTCTTCTCGAGCGCAATAGGATCGATAAGGGATTCTTTCTTCAGGCTGCTGGCTCCGGCGGAGTTTCTCTCGCAGACGGTCACGATCTTCGTTAGCTTCTTGTAGATCTTCTTGGGCATTTTGTAAATTACTTATAACTCGTCCGACCTGCTGGCGGATCTCTTCGAGAGCCTCTTGGTTAGTTGTGTGTTGATTAGTGACTTCAGCCTGGTTATTGATCAGGTGATAGAAGTGTTCAAGGTCCTCCTGGAGGTATGTCTGAAGATCTTTAGGGTTCTTGAACTTGTAGAGGCTATCTTTGTGTGATATAAAGAATGAGCCGCGGCGGTTATCTCTCTGCTTGCCCTTATTGATAGTGGCAGTGGCAGTGGCAGTGGCAGTGGCAGTGAGTACCTTTTTCGCAGTTATGGGGGTGGGAGTGATCGGTTTATCTTTGGGTTCGGATTTAGTCGTGTCGTGAGCGGAGCGATCGTCAGCGTCGTTACTAACTTCTTCGATACGAGGTTCTTTGGTTCGTGTCTTCGAGCCGCTGCTCTTAGGCTTCGTGGAATGATCAAGGACTATCTTGGTGCGTGGATTGGTCGGTTCGGTTTGATTCGGGGGTTTGATTGGATGGAATGGTCTCGAGTGGCTGAGACGTTGCGTAAGCAAAGCAAGCGTGCGTCTGTACAACCTTAGGTGTTCAGGGGGGTGGGAGTGAGAATGAGAATGGGGTGAGCTTAATACTATGTAAGGACTTAGATGCTTGGAAGGATAGCAGTAGTATTGCACGAAGGTATTGAGCTGAGAGAGAGAAGAGAAGAAGGAGAGAAGCTCTCATCACAACTATCTATATATGAGCGGCTGCCTGCGTTACGTGATCAGGCACCGAGAGAGCTTCGATCGTTACATAGATCAACATGCAAACTGAGCTTGGTCGTTTCATTTGCATAGCGTATATAATTATCATACCTAGCTACTATGGTCGGTGTATTTCTTCAAGCTGGATTTGTTACTATACAGCGATTGCAAAGGCTGCGTTTCACTTTTTGCTCGCAACTCCAAAGAGCGTGCCTTTTATAGATCGTCGAGATGGTATTTCCGGCACTTTCGTGCGTGGGTCGTGTCCCGACGACAAAACAGAAGAACTTATTAGAATGCGCCAAGGATTACTTCAGGAACAAAGATTAGATAGCTCCCTAGCTGAATCCAGAGAGTGCAATTAGCTTTCCAGAAGGGTGCCGGTATAAGTTCACCATAGAAAGGCATAGTTAGTTATGGATTCGCAGTATTAGTCGACTTTTCTACATTCGTTAAGTCGAATAGACCTCAACACCGAGAGTGCCGGTGTCTAATATCTGTTGTAGACTAAAGGAAGCTTGAATTGTTATTTCTGAGGGGATACAATAGGTTATATCTAGGACATGAAGTCCAAGAAATTAACTTAGTTCTTTGTATAGATAGCGTAGGAATTATTTCCCATGCTGCGGGTTCGTTCGTAAGCGGCAACTGCCTTATATCGCAGCATTATCTACATCTAGCAGAGCTATTTTCCGTCTTATTGGCGCCGTCATTACATCCCATTTAGTTGCTCCTCGATCTTGAGCCAAGTCGCGGGCAACAAAAGCCCAGTCAGCCAGTAATTATCACTGTTGTCTTTGCCCAGAGCCATGAACGCACGCGTTTCTAGCTGCGGGAATTTGTCGTATTGATTGCGCGTGGTGGAAGACCATAGTGCCAAGCGGGTTATTTCTTGACTGCGCCGTCTCCCCAACACGTACAACCGCGGGGCTGAAGTCGACCACTTTGAACAGATTGGCCCTTGTCCAATTGGTGAAGGGTATAAGTACGGCGTCGGGTTCACCGCACACCAGCGTTGCATCACTGCCGGACTTAAATTCCCGTTGGAGCTCGCGAAGTAAGGCCAGTACCTGAGCCTCGGTCGACTGCTCTATCAGATGGCGGCGGTTCTCCCGAGCGATAGGCCCTAGTGGTCCAGTCGCGACTTCGGAAGACAGAAATTTGAAAGCTGCAACCGCCATGTTCTGGATGTAAACCCCGGAGGCCTGAAGCAGGGGCGTGAGACGGAATCTCGTGTTGAGCGCATGAAGCACCGTCACGGGTCGTGGCTTCGGTAGGGAGGACGCCACTGCGCGCGCTGACCACGCTGTCAGCACATCACCTTCGCTGATGAAGGGCTTCTGCTCCCCGTTATCCTGAGCCGCCAGGTCGCCCCGTGCCTGGCGACATAACTCATTCACCGCCCTCTTAGGCAAGAAGATGGTGCGCGTCTCGACAACTTGATTCCACATAAGGTCCCAAGCGAATCGAAGCCCAAACATGAGCATGCTCCATCCCCTCAACTGCTTCTGTCCCACTATAAACTCCTCCTGTTCCACGGATGTATCTGTCGCTACATATAGGGCGTCCTCTCGTGCTCCGAGCATGGGTGGCACTTCGGACTCTCGGCCAGCTAGCACCAGAGACCAACCGTGCAGGAGGGCCTGCTGGCCCATTGGCCCATGACATCCATTAGTGTGTGTGGCCATAAGAGAGCCACGAGCGTCGCATCGTTGAACGAAGTTATATGGAGCGACAGTTGGGGTCCTGGTAGATGAAGTCTTCAAGCTTTTCCGGCGCATTTTCACAAGCCGCAAAAGCTCGAAAGACCTGGGGCCCAGGTTGGATGGACGGGGCTTCAGTGGCTTTCGGGAGGGACTTCGCCAGCGGGTGGTCTTCAATATTCATGTCTAGGGCTTGGTGGGTGTAGTACACAGCAGGACGTTCTGCCGTAAAGGCCCGCGGGATATGAATTTCCAGCTCTCTATTCTGCTGGCCAATCAGCAGCTATTGAGTAGTCACACATTATCAAAACAAGAGGTAACCTTTAACCGCAGCCGCCCCCCGGCCTTCCTCCAGTCGCCAATCTCCAATAGCTTTGACAGTGATGCGTACAAGTTGTCCGCATCCAGCACATCGTTGAAGCACAGCGTCCATGTGACGACAATGTCTCGCAGCGTCTTGGTGTTGTCTAGCATAAGAACGGGATAGACGTCGTCGCTCTCAGCAAAGGGAGGTGGAGTTTTTGCCAGAGACGGTCTGAGTAGGCGCAATACGGCCGCCATGTTGTCGGTGTTGAGGAGTTTTGGCTGTTGATCCAAGTTCAAAAAACGTGCCTACAACTTGGAACCCTTAACCTCCAGTCTAACTTTATACCTACTCCTATTTTGTATCGACCACTGGCAGTGGAAAGGTGGGTAATGAATGGCTGATCCCAACCCCAGCCCCTTTATGCTAGGCAGCTTCAAGTTCGTCTATCTTGAGGTCGTGCATTGCATTGTATTGCATAAAACTACAAACTTATGTCTAATAGTCCGCAAATCCCAGTGTTGTGTAATGCCAACCTTGCTTTTTTGAAATCTTCTTTTTACGAGGCAGCTGAACTGCACGCATAGATCTGTGTAACCACACCGAAAACAAGACTGGCGTCTTGTTCTCCCATGCGAGGGACTGAGCTTCGCTTGGCGAAGATGGCTTCAGTTGGCAGAAAATGTGACTCAACCCCTTCAGCGTAAATGTAAGGATTCAAGGGACATCGTCATACATTTTTTTAGAGTGTCATTGTCACAACGGGGCTCGTTGAGTTTCACATAATTTGTTCCTGTTAGTAGCATCTCGAGCTTGAGATGACAGTGTGTTCTCCACTCCCCCCACAGGATGCATGAGAAAGATTATGCCGATTCAATCAATTATTATGATAGGCGATTCCGCACCAGCCCTGTCCTACTTTGTCTGGACCCGTGGACGTAAGGGGTTTGCTGCAGGTAATCCGTTGGGTTTCCTCTAAAATGCTAGCATTTAGTCTAAATACTCTCTCTACTAATTCTAAGAAGACAATCCATTATTCTTGCCAGCTAGTAACCATCGACTGGCATTCCGATCATCATGAACACCAAGCGACAACAGAATGGCGATGTACCGTTGGTACTCCCTGTCTCAAAAGGATCATTGTCAGGCGATACTAGTAGCGAGGTGGTTCGCGACAGAGGCCATCGCGCCTGGCTACAAATTTTAGGATCATTTATGATCTTTTTCAGTTCAGTGTGAGTTTATCCCATATCTTCATTATAATGATGAACGCTAACTCGACAAAGGGGAATTACCAATTCATTCGGAGTGTACCTGTCATACTACCTAACCGAGAACACATTTAACGTCTCAACATCAACGGTTTCGTGGATCGGATCCCTTCAATCGGCACTATTTCTTGCGATAGGAATTGTTGCAGGGCCGCTGTATGATCGTGGCTTCTTCCGCACTCTCGTATACGCTGGATCATTCCTTGTTGTGCTTGGCCAAATGATGCTCAGTCTCTCGACTTCGTACTACCAGGTCTTCCTTTCGCAGGGCATCTGCATGGGTCTTGGAGCCGGAATGACTTTGGTACCTGCTTTCTGCATTCTCATTACATACTTTGACCGACACTTGGAAATGGCTACTGGCATTGCCTCCATGGGGGGGTAGCATTGGTGAGTACATCCTGATAGACTGCTGGTTCACTGGGTTACATTGCTGACACTCTTTAGGTGGAATTTTATTTCCAATCATATTCAGCCGAACCATCGGCAAAATAGGATTCCCCTGGACCACACGAGTAATAGGGTTGGTCCTTCTGGTCCCTCTACTCATTGCGGCTGCTGTCTTTCGTCCCGTCAAAACACCTCCTCGTCCTCAAGCCTTGAATCACTTCATCGACTGGAAGATGTTCAAGGAGCCCGCCTTTGTCTCTTATCTTCTTGCAATCTTCCCGTTGGTCCTCGGTTTGTGCATCCCGATTGTCTATCTGGAAAGTTATGCGTCCGTCATCGGTATCAAGAATCAAGCGCTCGTCTCATATATTTTGCCGATTTATCTGGCTGCAAACACATGCGGATGCTTTGGGATAAATGTATTCGCCAAATGGCTTGGTCCCATCAATTCGATGGCAATCTCTATCAGCCTTAGCGGCGTGATGGTCTTTATTCTGCTCGAAGTGACTACCGAAGGCGGTTTGATTATCATGGTGTTTATTCTTGGTTTTCTCGCCGCTGCTCCAGTCTCCCTACAGCCGGCATTTCTTGTGAAGATTTCTCCAGACCCCCGAGTTATCGGCTCGCGCATAGGGTGTGGTTACCTAGCTTCCACTCTCGGTAACCTTGTTGGGCCTCCGATTGCAGGCGCTATCCTTGATCGCTATGGATATGATGCGACTTGGATATTTTCGGCTTGCATGTATCTTACAGCTGCGTCTCTTTTCCTGATTTGTCGGGGGCTCCTCACTCGTTGGAAACTTTTCGTGGCAACATAGACTTTTACGAGCCCATTATAACTACCTGATGGCCACGCTGGTAGGAAGCTCAAGTTTAGAGATGAATAACGAAATTAAATGTGAAGTACCCTTATGACGATATGCTTAATGAGACCGAGGCTCAATAATATCTCCCCGTAGCATTAGGTCTAGTCTATCAGACACTCCAGGAGAAGCTAGCCTTCGGAGTTACATTCATCAGACACCACAGTTAACCTTGGGCTCTGTATATCCGAAGAGTGGGTCGACAGTATCAATGTAAGTTATGTTCATCCTCATCCTATACTTTTTTCTTTAGATACTCGGACTAACTATTCTGGCAGTGTGTGGATTGTAAACTGGTGTAGCTCAAGTATTTGTTATAATTTTTGCTTATTCTATAGGCGATGGAGCTGACAGGAGCATGAAGTATGTCCAGATTGGTATAACTCCACACGCGAGATAATAGTCCCGACACTCCCAGTGATTTATACGGTTATGTAATTCATTTTTATGATTGTTTTAATACCTTAATCCTCTAGAGTTATAGTGAAAAGAGAAAGGGAGCAAGTATTTTGTCGTACAGAACAAGCGTAGTGGTGGTTTTATCTTTCTTCACAGGCCCGCCCACGTTCGCCTTCTATATTAGAAATAGCTAAATTAAAGATATAGTATATAGTGAATCTGGATTTATTTTTGTCACGGGATTTGAAGTATACGATACCCCAGACTCTCGAGGCCGATTCATAGACGAATCCCCTTTGAGTCACCTAAATATATTCCGGCCCGTCCCCGGGGGGGGGACCCGCAAATAAAAGTCTTGGCAAGGGGGGGGGGGACGAGTAAATACGTCCCCCCCCCCTAACTAGGTCACCCCTTTATATTTTTCGATCGGGCTTTTTAGAAGTTTGATTAGAATCATCTAAACTACCCTCCTATTAGGTTGAATAGGATGATTTCTAGTCAGAAGGGTAAAACCCTAAGGGGTCTGATTTTGGTAGGTGATTTTTTGATGGGGTATGCCAAGACCAGGACCGACGGGTAGTCTATACCCTTTTCGGCCAGCTTTCTAAGCCTAGGGTTTCTGCCTTAGCTATAAGGTATTCTAGGGTTTTAGGGTCGAGAGTAGGGTTGCTGCTTATTGGCTAACTACTAGAGCTAACTGAATCTGGTTTGTACTACTAGGTAGATAAGCTTAGTTAGTAGGGGTCTAGAAGGCTATGATTATATAAGCAGGATCTAGAGAGGTAGAAAATAGTATAGAAGAGGTCTAGAAATTTTTAGTCTGCTGACTAGTATCAATTTATATAGGGTGATAGAGGGGATTTTGACGATTAGATTAATACTAGTATGAGCGAGGTAAGCCTAGTAGTTAGTGAGATATTAGTAAATAAATGTTTCTATTATAGATATTACTGGGGGTTACTGTGGCCAGTTGTTGTATAATACCTTATAGTATATATACCTATACCTGGGAATATTAAGTATAAGCTTTTATATTATAGTCTTTTTAGGCTAGTAGAAATAATATATAATAAGGGGAGATACTAGGGCTAGGCATCGCCAGAACCCACTATAACCCGGACCCAACCCAACCCAACCCAACCCAAAATGGGTTTTGGGTCGGTATCTCCAACCCAAAATGGGTTATGGCGATGCCTATACTTACTGTAGCCGTACCTATGCCTATACCTAAATAAGCAAACTGTGCCTGTGCCCTTAGCAGCCTATTTATAGTAAGTGATTCCTAATAAGAATCAGCCAAGCAGAAGCTATCTCCTACAGGGCCCTTAGACAGTCTGTACCCTAAAGACCCCAAAAATAATACAGAGCCAGGTCAGATATCTGATCTAGATAAAAATCTATACTTTACGGTAAATAATACTCTAGAGTAGGCTAAAGATTCTAGTACTACTGAAGATAAGCTAGTCCTGTCTTATCTGTCTGCTCTACTAACTATATACTCTTCCCTAGAATATTCTTATATTTAAATAATACAGAGTTTTAATATCCTGGTATGTTATCCGTTAATAGCTATAATTATACTATTACCGTCCTAGAAGTAAATAGCTATCAGAATAAGTATAAGACCTGCCGCAGCAGTATACAAGCAGTAACTCTACTTAGGTCAAAACACCTATAACTACCAAGATAAGAACACCACCCTCTATAATATAAAATAACTATATCAAAAGAGAAGGAAACAGAGACCCTTAATCATACCGTTTTCTGATATATTGGTCTTTTCTATTCTTATTTTATCGTATTGCCCTGGTGCTATCTAGGGCCTATACGGAAGTGCTCTTTTTATAGTCAAATCTAATTCTGGTCTTAAACCGGCATATTTCTTTACTTTCGTTCCCGACCCTAGCCTAATACTATCTAGACCCTATACAGAGGTTATTCTAGAGAAACCAAGGTATACGTTAGATAAGAACGCCTTGCTAGTATAACTAAAGAAAAAAGAGGTAATATCATAGCCTAAGATCATGACTTACTTCCCAGGCCGAAATATATCATCCCTTTAAGTCTATTATTTAACTAAATTATGCCATAAGGCCAGCTCTCGGTCTAGAAAACTAAGGCAATACAGATAAGAGAGGCTATTATTTATAATTAAAACCTGCCAACCCAGCTTGATTGGGGGTTAATATCAGCGGATCACGGGTTCTGGCAGAGGTTTTTCCGATAATTTATCCTCGCTAAAGTAAGTATGTTATGGCAAAATATTTTCTATTCTCTACCCTTAGAGAAGCAAACTAGACTCAGGAATATTTTTTAAAAGATAAATAAGCTGGCTATAGCTACTGAATTCTATACTTTAGATTAAACAGAAGGGAAAGTATAGTCCCCCTTAGAACCAGATCGTGAAGTATTTTCTAGGAAGGATAAAGGTTACTCTTTAGGTTTGCTATAGCACGAAGCTCAAGGACCGAGGAACTAGAAGTCACAGGCGACGCTAGAGTCAAAGTATTATATATCCTGTAGCTGCGCTTGCTTAACACAGCTATGAATATTATCCTATAATACTCTAACTAAGATCTAGTTAAGATCTAGTTAAGATCTAGCTAAGATCTAGCCAAGATCTAGCTAAGATCTAGTTAAGATCTAGTTAAGGTATAACTAAAGATAAATATACTATAACCAAGGATAACTTTACCTAAAATAGGTAAATAATCCTAGAACCCCAAGGTCGCCTAAACCTATACTAAAATAGTTCTAATCGCCTAAACCTACTCTCTAAATTAGAGAGGTATAGGTAGTAAAATAAATAAGGTCCTATTATAAAAATACTATTAGATATAAATAAGACCCTCTTAGCCAGATATAATAAACAATACAATCAGAAGATAATACAAAAAATCAACACAGCAATCAGAATCATCTATAATCAAGCAATCAGATCCTTAATCTTATTGATTACTCAGTAATCAGCTATCTATAATTATTCCTCTTTTATCTATATTCCCCTAAGCCTAGTAAGACCTTAACAGTCTTATAACAGCTAACTCTCTCCCGCTCAAAATAGGACCGGATAATTGAAGAGCTTCGGGAATCCCTTAACTTTTGTTGTATAAATCTAAATTATTATTATTTATCAACATCTTGATCCTAAACTGTCAGACTACCTTGAAGCTATTACTCTTGGTTACCTCTAGAAGATCAATAAGTAGCCAAGGAAAAAGGGGCTAAGTATTTCCGGTATAGCTATACATACAGATCTTAATCAAGCCCAGTAATGGAGTATAACAGTTAACTTGGCCATTAACCCTATAGTGGTGTTCCAAAAGTTTGAAACACCCCTATTATTCTGCTACTTTTTTCTGCCGCACCAAAACCTCGTAATCCTGTGTAAAATAAAAACCTTATATATTATAATTGCTAATAACTAGTATACTAGCCATCGTTTTCAATAACTTGCTGTACACGGTATGGCATAGTAATAGCCAAATTCTCTAGGATATCTATATCAATCATAGACCATACTGTCTGCGCTATACCTATAATAAACTAGATAGTATCCTCATTATTTGGCATACCCCTAATTTCAGGGTGTAATTTATATACTTTCCCCTTCAGTAACAGCTATAAATTTTTAATTAGACTTAGATCTGGTAAATATGGAGGCTATTTTATAAGCTTATAGTCCTGATCAGCCACCTAATCGTGTACAACGTATGCTGTATAAACTAAAGCATTATCTTGTTGAAAAATAGCACCTTCAACTCCATCCAACAAAGTTGGAAGTATACGCTGATATAATTCCAAGATAACAAACCGATTAACCCCTCTATTAGGAGAATTTAGATCTCCAAAGAGTAGAATAAGTCCTGATCGATGACCTGATCCTAAGAACGCAGCCCAAAATATTTGCTTTATACTCTTATGGCATAAGACTTCTTAGACATCTCGCTCTGCTATTTGGCGGCTTGGTGGTGTAAAAGTCCACTCTCGGCGTCCTCCTTTTCCTCTTTTAATCGTTGTTTCATCCGACCAAAAGATCTTTTTCTATTTTTCAGCATTATAATCTTAGATACGATTTGCCTAAGCTAGTCGTTGGCGAGCCTGTTGGGCGGTTAACTTAGGACGTTGAAGTCAGAGCCATTTCTGTTTATTCTTATACTGAAGAAGTCGCTAAAGAGTTGCTCAGCTATATTTAAAGTCAACTATTGCTAGTAATGCATTATATTTGACTTGTAGGTTCTCTAAAATTACTGTAAGTATCTTTAATCGGTCTGTTTTATCCAACTTTTTTGGTGTACCAGAACGAGGTAATGCAGCCTGAGTTGGGCCTTGTTTTGCTGCCTGAGTAATTGTTGTTTTTATAGTTCTAATTGGAATATAAGGATATCGTTTCTGGATCTCAGCGTATGACTATCCAATAGCTTTTAATTCAACTAATCGAATACGTTTATATAGTGCTAACTGACAGCGGTGTGAGTGTTGTACAATATTTAAATACTGTGACGGTGTATTATATTGATTTTATACTGTTTACAGTGCAGTAAGACGAATTAGTGGTATTCTAAAGGCCTAAATAGCTCAGTATAACATATAGAATGTATATAATATGCTGTATACAATATACATTACAAAGTAGAATAGGGGGCGGTGTACTAATCTAGTAGGCAGTAGAAAAAGGCGGTCGCACAGGGTATTTTAAACTTTTGGAACAGGACTGTATATATTGTTGGTAGATTTCCCGGAGACTATCAGTGTCTTTTACTACTTCTTACTACCTCCAAGGCTTGTTTAATTACCCTAGCTCAGTAACTATGCCTATACCACTCGAAAGTAAAACCAAGTTGCTCAGGCTCCCCTGAAGAGAGTATATAAAGAAGTCTGCGTATCTTTAGCCTCTGACAGACTTTTTTTGTCAAAGCGAATTCCTTTATTGATAAGTTTTGATCTATACCATAGATGGGGGGGACTTAGTTCTCTGCGATTAGTTATATCAGGGTCAGCGACCTTACTGTAACAGATCACTAAAGCCTACCAATTTCCCTATAACCCACGAAATATGTAGCCTAGAATAATACGCCATTAGGGGGTAGAGATTCTTCTGGCGTTAATCTCTTTCTATTTAATGCTCTTTGAGAGAAGTATCTCTGTGTATACAGCTAACTCTGTAATTATGGTCTGAATATATAGCAATAGCCTATAGATCATGGAACCTCATGGAACCTGATCGATAGTGGCAAACTATCTGGATGCTGTGGCAACTCTGGCCATCTGCCACCTACATAATTGACTGCCACCTACATAATTGACTATGGTGCTAACTATGGTAACCTATATAATCAATTACCATTCGATACTAATCATGATTAATACATTACGACGACTTATTGTCGTGTGACCATTATAATTACTAACAATAGTAGCCTGAGGCCTGCTAAACCTCAAGGATAAATAGCATCTCAATCTCCTGCAATCCTAATAACATATACATCCATTCAATACATCAATTAATTTATCTATTACCAACCAACAGCTTCTTATTGGATCATCTGATCTACCTTCTACTTCCCTGAGCCTAGTAAGACGTATAGTCTTATATATGGCATATTTATTATACCAACAGTTATTGATAATATTGTTAAGTAGGGGATTACCATTAAGTATCAGATATTCTATGTTCTGTAGTAAGTCGACGACTTAAGGCCTTTACTCCCCGGGATCCTTAGTAAGGCATCGGTCTCTATAAACCTCAAAACTATAGTTAAGTAAGTAGTACAACGAACTAAAAGCAAATTACTCTGTACGAGGACCAAGGAAGCCTGAAGTGCCACATCGTTCTTGGTCTGGCTCGCTGTCGTTTAACAATCTTCTATAAGGGGCTATATAAGCTTCAAAATCTGCCCTAATTTCTGCTGTATAATCAGAGTCAGATAGCTTTAACTAGTTACGATCAAGCAGGATATTTTTGGGTCATAGGACGCTATAGGCAAGGTTAAGCAATTCGAGGAAAGCGACAGCCTGAGCAAGGTCGTTTATCTATTCCTTGTATAGGGGTAGAGGTTTCAGTTTTTCTACTTTAGTAACTATTGTAGTTTCCTGGTCTCGGATATGATTATCTTGTATCCTAGAATATAGGGAAACATCTAGTAACGTAGTTAGCAGACTTATTTGTCAAATGCTAGTAGGGGTTGTACCTCGTATATACTCTAGGAAAACGCTGTTATCTGTATAGAAGAAACACTACAACACAGAAGGGCAGGGAGGATTTTGTAAAAAGATCTTATATATTTTAAGCTCTTTTTGAAATTACTCTCTCTCAAAGCCTCCTAGCCTAGGGACCTTGACCACGATATAAGGATAAACCTTATAGACAAAGGAGATGCCTCCTTTCTATATCCAGTATATATCAGGAAACTGCTACCGGATACTTATAATAAAGATGAGATATAAGAAATATAAAGCACAGGTACGGCAAGATTTATGTTGTATATAAGGAAGTAGGCAAGGGGAAGAAAGGGATAGCGATAAGTCTAAATTATCTACCTATTTGAATTCTGTGCTCTAGATGGCTTTCTAAGATAGATATAATTAGTAGTTCTATAAGATATATAAATACTATTTGTACCGGTACTGCCAGATTCGGCCGCCCCCTCGATCAGGTTTAGCGTCTGCCCCGTTTGGGTTTGGTCTATCCTAATTCGGTATAGCGTCTACGCTTTTCCTAAAATAGCAGAGGCCCTACCCTCTCCTGTTCTGGTTTAGCGGTTCCCGAAGAAGTTTAGCGCCTCTGGCTATCCCTAAACGGGGATCTGCCAACTCTGACCGCCTGCAAGCCTTACCCTTAGACTATATAATTTCCAGTACGTTGCTCTAGCGTCCTCCCCTCTTTGACTGATTCTATTTTTCTCTTTTCTGTTATAACAGTATAGAAATGATACCGTAATTGCGGATCGAACGGTATTTTACCCCCCTATACCTCCCTGTTTCAGCTGAGTTCCTTGTCATCGCCTGCGCGTACTTTCTCCATTCGACTGGCTGTTAATAGACCCATCGACCCTAGTTACTCTGATGATCAGCTTGGAATGTTCTGCTGAAGCCCCTTAATTTGGCCTGGGTATTAACTAGTATCTTTACCCTCTATTCCCGGACGTGCTTATTTTGCCTGCTGTAAAGGCGTAGCAGCTATCTATAACTGGCCTAGGGAGAGAGCCTTGACGTATAAGCAGATTCGACTGACTAACTGGTCGGTCGGTCACAACTGTAACTTGGTGCCTCGCCGAGCCAAACCTAATTATAAGCTCTTGTAATACCTATATACCCTTTAGCATTCGCTGCTCTTACGCCCCGTATATCTAGCTTGTAACAAAAAATGTCTTATTGCCCGATTCCTTTTTGTAAAAGTTTCGACTCTCGATGGCCTTAATTAGGCTAGTGCCATTAAACAAATAGCGGTCTTCTATTTGACTAGACGCTTATGCCTACGCTAAGTAGCCCTCTGAAGACGATCTTTCCGTAATCTTTTGCTTTTAGTAAGGCGCAGTAAGGCTATCAGTATATTGATTTTTAGCCTACCTCTTGATCCAGTGGCAAAAATACCTTATACAGTAGTGTTGACTTGTTTCCCTCGGTTATTTCTGCTGTGGACTAGATGAGTAGGCCTTGTTATCGGCAGGCTGCGTTGTATATCCTTCTCTGTATAATCTTACAAGATAATAGATCGCGAATAGATATAGAGAGCATCATACCACTATAAGAAAGGTCTTAGGACCTTATTTTAGAATGTGAAGGGCTATATTCCCCTCTGTTAAGTTTTTTCTGATCTGGTAGTCTTTTTAAGGCTGTCTTTGCTGCTATACCTCCGATTAGCCTAGACAATGTTATTTATTATAGCCCGCCTGCTATATAATCTAATTATTAGCCTATCAGAAAATCCAATATGATAAATTGCTTTGCTCTATCCTCATCTTAGAATAAAGTAGTTTAAGCCTCTTCATTTCTGCCCTCTCGACCACCCGTTAGCAGTCATTAGAGCTTGAAACATATATCTGATATGCGCAATCTCTCTGATTCGTCTGGTGAGAGTAAAAGTCCGTCTGTTCTCGATAAGCTTGCTACGGATGAATCTCCTGACCACTTGAACGATTTTGATTCAGAATTCTTGAAGGTCAGCCAGAATAAAGATACCAACGCCATTTTATCAAGCGTTTGCTTAACCGAACGGGATCTGCGAGTGGATTTCAATACTTGTCTACAGTAAGGGATTAGTGAACGGTATCTAAGAGGTATATGGTGCTGGTTATCCTTAGCTTTGATTTCTTCTTAATTTTACTTGGCTCGGCTACTGAGCTTTTGCTCTTCAAATTGTACTTCTTCCCAATGCTTTTGCCTTCCTCTCTTTTGTTTCCTAGTAAACGATTAAGGTCTGGATTTAATCTTTAAAGACAGGTCCTGAAGATACGGAATACTACGAGAGTGCCTCAAAACTTACTCAAGATACTGAAGCTGCAATCGGCCTTGGAAATCTTCCGCTACCCGATGCTTCTATCTTTGTGCCGGACTCCGACAAACTCGGCCTTCCCGGGGAATATAGAGGAGTCTTTAAGGAAATCGAACTATTAGGTCCTTCAGGTCAGTTTATAGGTATCTATATTATCAATACCGTTTACTTATTGGGTGTGATTTAGACAGTTCTAATATGCACACTATCGATTAGCGACAAATAGACCCGATCGTAAATAACTCGAATTAAAGCGTAGCCATTAATAGAGAAAACGTTGCTCTTGCGGACGAGGAAACATACGATACTCAAAGTTATTTACCTAACTATATACAGTCCTTAGCTGGCGAGATTAGAACTATGTTGGATAAGGCGAGCTCCAAACTGCCAACTTGCAACATTGATAGAAACAGGAAGACTAAGAACCACAGTAATAAGCCAGTTATAGAGGTCCAGCTGGCCGCTAATCACGACACAGATAAGGTGATAGATTCAGACCAGTAAGATTAGTCCTAAAGAAATAGCGAGGATGACCTGCCGGTATGCTCTAAAGAGGATAGAGAAAGCAACATAGCACGGCCCGTCTCTCTCTTATTTTAATGTAATAAGCGGCCATAATGTAATTCTCCGGTGAGAGATACCAGATCCTCTCTGGCATTAGAGCCTCTATCGGTCGTTATTATTAACTTGCGTTCTTAAGTTCCAGAATCTATAAAGTCTGATCTAGCACTGCGTAAGTCTTCTAAAAGGTATCGTCGGAGCGAGGTCTTATATAAGATTAACAGTGATGAGAATAACGAGCCTAGTAATAGCGACTATATGTACGAAAGAGGTAATGACCCTCGTAAGATATCTATAATTCCTTACCAAACGAAAAGAGTACGATGAGCTATACCGGCCCGTATACAATATACTGTACTTAACTCAGCCAATATAGCAAAATCCCTTGATGTACCAGAGGATCAGACCCCTTTAACAAGCTTATATGATATTGAAACTATTCCTGTCCGAGGCTTTTTGATGCAACAAATACTTCTTTCAAAAGTTGTTTATTTATTTATAGTTGAAGAATAATTTGACTACTCCTGTATGGGGGCATCAGGTAGAATTCTATCAAATTCTAGGAAGTAAGTTAGCAGCCGACCTACTAAGCTATATTACCCTAAAGTATCTTAAGCTGGGGCTACTACCAGGCTAAGTCAAGTTTTATCTAAGGATAATCAGCTTTTGATTAAATTAAAGGAGGATTATAGTCTGCTATAGAAGGAAATTATAAAGTTTTTCCCTGAGAGGTCGGAAGGTTCTCTTTAAGTATAGTATTGTATATACCTTAAAAGCCGATATGCTAGACGCTTCTCTAGAAGAGAGAGCATTGAGAAATATATGTCAAAGGGGCGATATAGTCTACCTTGACGCAGACGAATAGTTGACTGATACTCCCCAGTGTGACAAAGCAACTTTAAGTACTTATTCTCTTCTAACGAAGAGCTTAAACCATAAATAGAATACTTTACCCGTTTAAGCCAGCGTTCTCTAGTTCAATATATAAGGATTAAATAAAACTATATACTGTGCTGTTTTAAACCCTGGCTGAAGAGCTATTAAACCGTCAGAATAAAACGTACTGCCAGGAATTATGACTGCTTTTGGTAGAGGCTCGGTTCCCTATTCTATAAAAAGACTTGAAGTATAGATATTGACCTTGGGCTTATCTTGGCACTCTAAAGTGGAGAAAGGAAAACCTATCGAGGGAGGTTTAGCAGAGAGCCTCTTAGTAGGTAATTAGCATAGTTCTTAATAGTCACCTACCTAACTACTAACTCACCGATATATAGCTTAAGTACAGCTGAGCAGACAGGAAGCCCTGTTTTCTATACCCTATGGTCGTATATACCAGGCTTAGCGTTAAGAGGAATATATATAGCCCTAGTTCAAAAATATAAGAAGTTAGTAAGCGCCGCTTAGCGTGATTAGGGTAAGAAGGGTGAGTAAGCTATAGATAGGGTAAAAAGCTAGGTAAAAGTTACCTAAGTCGTGTATTAACCCCTTTAGCTGACTAAACAAAGGCAGAGTATTATTGAATTGTATCGTTTCCTATGAAACGTTCGGTATCTTAGCACCTACCTATTATTAGAAGATGATTATAGATACTTCTACCTAAGGCAGGAGTTATACTACGAGCCGATCAGAGTCTATTATTTCTCCTACTGGAATTAACCTAGGAAGATATATCTTAGGGCCCCGAAGTCTTAAAACGTCTTTTCGTAGACTTCTTACAGTTCTATCTTCTCGATAAGCGACGCCTTAAGTAGTTTGCGCTTCTATAGAGCTGATTTTTTTCTTAATATTTTAGGTTAACCTGTCGATATGCTATATTAGTATCTTAAATATAAATAGACTAATTACTTTAAGAATCTACTTCTCTTCAACAACTATACACAGAACACTATATCAAAAGAAACTGTATAGCCAGCATTTGTCGGACATGACCGTTCTCTTATTTTATATAGCATCCTACTATCTGTACCTATCTATACCGCTAATATATTAGTATATCGACTAATATCGCTCTAGTGTATCATAATCGTAACTATTGTAGCCCTAGGGATATATAACAACTTATCTCTTACTACCTAACTTAAAGCTTCTTGTCGGAACGTCGTTATTACAGTACGGGCTAGTACAGGCATAGCCAATAAAGTACTTAAGAGTGTCTATTATATACTATAGAACGTACAGAAGAAATAGGGGATAAGCTTAGTAAGGCTGTTGAGAATATTATGATTATTAGGCAGATAGGGGTATTGAATATTCCTCGGATATACTAGTAAAATTACGACCCTCTTTTATTGATACTTCTTCTATCCTTTACTCTTATAGATAAGCATAGAGCTCCCTTTAGACCATTGACTTAGAAAGCTATTGATATACAGCCGTAAGGCCGCTATCTCTGCTATAACTAACCTTTACAAATCTCTTACCACTCTCCTGTATATAGAGCTAACCAATATTCTCTACCCCCCCACCCGAAGGATGGCCGTATATTACTCAGGAAAATAAGGCGTTTACCTCTCTTAAGAAAACCGATAAGGTACTCAAGCTGCTTCGCCACTTACTATACCTAGACTTTAGGCGTAATGAGTGGTTTATTAGACCCTGGAGCGTTGTATATGATTAGGCATCGCCATAACCCATTTTAGGTTAGAGATGCCGACCCAAAACCCAACCTATTGGGTTTTGGGTTACGGGAGCTATATTATAACCCAACCCAAAACCTAATAGGTTAAACCCAATAACCCAGTGGGTTCCTATTTCAACCTATTTTGGCATAAGCCGTAGGTCCTGGCGTTTATAAATCAGATCACTAAGCAATAGGGAATTATATTATTTACAGAGTTACCAGATAGTTTTCTA